TTTCCACCCCCATGGAGCTCAACAAGACTGCGATTTTCACCTTGCCCTCTGTGATGCCATTCGCGGTGAAATGCTGTTCTAATCTTTCTTGATAGATTTCCCAATCGTCGGTCTCATGGTGTAATTCCGAAAATTTTGGCGCGATTGCCATCGCCATCTTGCCGTTTTCTTAGCACGTCACGACCAGGAAAAATTCGCGTTTCCGTTTTATATCCTCGTCGCCACTGTTACGTTTTGTAATAAAAGATGATTGATTAACTGATTGATAAGATTTATTTTGTTTAATATGAAATTCTTTGGTTTAAAGCAGTGGTTCCCAAACTTTTTTCTTTTGCGCCCCCTTTCTGAATTCAAGAAGTGGTCGCGCCCCCCTTACTTCACCCATTATACAAAAACATTTTTTTAACTTACTGTAACTCGTATGAACTGCACTTTGGAAGAGGAGGAATGGGCATGACAGTGGGCAGCGAGCGTGCGCTGTAGCAATGATCGCATGGCAAAGCTACTTTGGCTTAGGTATGCGCTGTAGCCGGATTGTAGACATCTTCTTTTAAGTTTGAACTGATTTTTTATTTCAAAGCTTAAAATTTGTATGAATTTTTTAGAAGACTTACGCCCCCCTTAATGTTGCTTCACGCCCCCCCAGGGGGGCGCGCCCACAAGTTTGGGAGCCACTGGTTTAAAGGGAGGCACGCGAACAGGAACATCTAAATCTAAAGACTCGTAATTACCGACTGCCTAGTTCAGTCTCAGGCCGCGCTTGTGCGCTTCTAAGCAGTGTTGCCACTACATGACATTTAGAAATTGCTGTATCTTCCATACCCTTCATTCAATTTGGGTTTATTTGGAAGAGAATTCACTTCGTTCGAGGTCGATAGTTCCCACCGCGTCTTCCAGAGGGCGCTGTTTATTCAAGATCCAGTTTTTTCTAATTTTCATGAAAAATCCAAATGGCATAATATTATGTTTGTATTGCTGTGCTTAAAGAGCAAAAAAATATCTACATTTTGGCGCAAGCCGCAATTCAATATCTGCATTCGTTTTCAAGTTACGTAAGGTCTATGGTCTCCATAATATCGTACCTGGCCGACCTTAGTGGGACACCCTGTACATCTGGAAATCAAGACACTAGGGAAACCATCACTCAAAACACTGTGGAAACAATAGAAACCAGGGCTGGAACTCTGTAAAGAATAGAGATATTTTCTCTATCTCTATTGACGTCTCTATCGATTTCGACAAGAAAGAAGAAGACAGCAAGTGCAATAGCGATAGGGATAACGATCCTTATCCGTTACAGAGTTCCAGCCCAGGTCCTAGTAGAGGAACCAGTTCTGAAAAAAAAAATTACAGCCATTTTGGCAATGATTGTCAATCTACAAAGATCAAAGTCTCTCCGCGAGCCTACTCCCGATAAACTCTGTCCAAGACCTCGGACAAATGACGAAGAAGATAAAACGCCGCAAGATATCCTGATCACATTAGTGAACCTGATAAGGCTATTTGAAACGAAAGATTGAAAAACTCTCAGACATGCCCATATTTGAAACTGAAACTGATTTCAATGAAAATGATACTAGGATCACTAAAATGAGTTTTAGAATAACTCTAAAGTTGATAAGGCTTATTGAGTATTAGTAAGAAAAATTTATAAATCTACAAATACCGCTGATCAATTTTCTAAAAGAACCTTTAAAACCAAAGCCAAGCAAAGGCCTTCTTTGGTAGTTGCGGAAGATTTAAAAGAAAACGAATGCTTTTTGAGTGTCTCAGATAAGGCTAGAAAGTTTAAGAGTACAGCTGAACAATTACCAACAGGCAGATCTGGAGGCCCCAAAACAAAATCATTTGTTGTCAATGTGAATATCCAACAAAAAGTTTCAGACATTAATACCTAAGAAACCCAGAAACCTAAAACTGTTGACAAGGGCCTTGCTCCAAAGGTAATCCAGATTTAGAAGACTATCTTAAATAAGACGGGTGCTTGTTGACCGTGTCTGATAAAGTAAGCAAGCTTATTCCAACAGCAGAAAAATTAACCAACCTGTACATCAAAGAAACTAACAGTGAGCCTTTCAAAGGTGGAGGTTCACCCTAGTAGATCAGCAACCAAAGATGTTACCAGTGATTTTAACCATACTGAGAAAAAAAAAAGGAAAACAGTAAGTACACTTAAGTCTCCTGAAAGAATATCTTTCGCATCTCTAGAAACCACGACACCCACCATACAACATCACATTCTCCAGATTATAAAACTCCCGATAGAATGTCGCCCAATGACTATGCGTTGATCTTGAAAAGAGGAAAAGTTGGAATTGATTAGCATACTTCAATTACTCCAGAATTCACACCAAAACATTCAAGAGAAGTGCAAGATGACCACCACAAGGCTTAGGAGTACTGAAAGTATTAGAAGAGCAAAGGCTTTATTCGAAAATATTGGCAAAGACCATGACACTCCTTGGCAAAAAGATATTCTGTCAAGATCTTCGGTGTTTGATGCTAAAAAATCTACAAAAACCACGATCAGGTCTGATGGAGAGGAGCATAGCAACAAATTATTACAAAAAAAATCATCTATTCTTGATGACACCGTACAATTTATAAGATCCCAATCACCAGAAAGGCCAAGCTCTTTAGGATATATGAGTCTCCAGAAAAAAAACCGAATCGCCAAAAAAACCTCTAGAAAGAGCGAGCACTCCGGAATATACACGGTATAGGCCTAAATCTCAAAAAAGGGTACCTCAATCGGCAAAAAACCTCTAGAAAGGCCAACTTCACCAGATTATATACAACGTTTAGGCCCAGATCTCTCGAAAAAGATTCCGAACGAGCAACGTATCGTAAGTACGCAAGATCCAGACTTAAATCTCTCGAAACCACTTATGAAACTAGCAAGAGGAGAAGCAGAGAGTCAACTCCTGGAAGGTGAACTACCTCATTAAGTAGATGAAACCATTCTTTGGGTAGAAATTTGAGGCCTAATAGTCCTCGCAGGGATAGCATCAGTCATCAATCAAGGTTTGAATTTTTGAACGATTTCCAAGAAAGAAAAATGTATTTTTTTTTCAGCTAAGCCCCAGCAGCATGAACCGCAACCTGCAGACTATGTTGATACAGGAGTACAGGACCAGCGATATTTGGAGTTACTTTGGAAAGAACTGATTCTGGACGAACTAGAAAAACTTCTGAAACGTCTACATAGTCAACTGAAAGAAGGAAAAGCAGGATAACCATAGCAAATCTGGTCTTGATCGTGACGTTATTGTCAATCTACAAAGATCAGAGTCTTCCCATGAGTCTACTCCTGATAGACTCTGTCCAAGACCTACAAAGTGACTAGGAAAAAGATGCAATACCAGCAAGATTATCCTGATCATATTAGTGAACCTGATGAAGGCTCCTTGAAACAAAAACCCAAAAAACTCTCAGACATGCATATATTTGAAACTGAAACTGATTTCAATGAAAATGCTAGTAGGATCACTGAAATGAGTTCTAGGATAACTAAAGTTGATAAGGTTGAAGAAACTGATGAAAGCTTATTGAGTATTACCTAATAAGAAAATTAATACATTTTTAAATGCTGCTGATCAATTGACTACTACAAGAACCTTTAAAACCAAAGCCAGGCAAAGTTGGAATGCCTTCTTTGGTAGTTTCGGAAGCTAAAAGAAGACGAATGCCTTTTGAGTGTCTCAGATAACGTTAGAAAGTTTATTAGTACAGCTGAACAATTAACAGCAGACAGATCTGGAGGCCCCAAAACAAAATAATTTGATGTCAATGTAAATATCGAACAAAAAGTTTCAGACATTAATACCTCTGTAGAAGAAACCCAGAAACCTAAAACTGTTGACAAGGGCCTTGCTTCAAAGGTACTCCAGATTTAGAAGACGATCTTAAAGAAGACGCTTGCTTGCTGACCGTGTCTCATAAAGTAAGCAAGCTTATTCCAACAGCAGAAAAATTAACCACCTGTACATCTACGAAAGTAACAGTGAGTTTTTCAAAGTTAGAAGTTTACCCTAGTAGCTCATCAACCAAAGATGTTTCCAGTGATTTTAATCATACTGAGAAAAAAGAGGATATCAGTAAATACACGGATATCTCGACACCCACCATATAAAGACATCGAAATTTTCCAGAAAGGTGCAAAATGACTCTAAGTCTACCAAACAAACGCTTTGTTCGAAAGTAAAGACCATGACACAAAATAGGTAGGTACCTATACTGCGAAGACCGTTAATGTTTGATGCTGAAACATCTACAGAAACCACCAGGAGAATTTATGGATAAGAAGTTATTGCAAGGAAATCATCTACACATAAAGTTATTGTTGATGACAAGATCCCATTCACCAGAAAGGCCAAGTTCTCCAGGATATATAGGCATTTATTAAACCTCAATCCCTCTCCCAGACCCCCGAAAATCCTGTAGAACGACTGACTTCTCTGGAATACAGACAGACACCGATCCAAAAAAATTGGCTTCTTATTTTGTCTGTTGTTTTGCTTAGAACCAAATGTTAATGAAGCTTGGAGCTCCCATCGAATTTCTCTTTTCAATACTTTTGATAGGTACAATAGCCTCTCGCTCTCCTGTGTTAACGCCCATATGAACCGTAAGGACTTAATCCAGATTAGTTGCTAAAACTACATTGGGACTTTATTTTTATATGCAAGTTTTCAAACTAAGCGAGATTAAACTCCCAAGTCCATACGGGTGTATTATAAGACAGTCATTCATTATCGTTTCTATTCTTAATGTTCTTTGCCTCTCTCCGGATCGTCTGGATTCTGGATGCATCAGTGTGTCTCAGTTGTCTCACAGTAGTTCACGATTCCTTGGTGGGTTTTTTATAATCGATTTTTATCCACAATTGTCAGAATCCAACTTTCCCAACGGTGCTTAGTGATTTTTGTACGGAACACCGAGTTATCGAACACAGCCCAAATTTCAGATGTCATGATTGATGTCTCATTTTTGTCAACAAACAAACATCAGCTGACTAACCTGCTTTATACAAATTTTCCCATTCATTCATTTTGAATATAAATTTCCCATTTTATATTTTTCCATTTTTTCCTAGTTCACGATGACTACAAACACAAACGACATAGATAAAATTCGTAGCACATTGGATAGGCTCACTCTGGATGCCTTAACATTAATGCAAGAAGAAATCGAGCTCAAAATAAATGCAGAAAATGCTATGGTTGGAGGCGAAACACATTTAGCAAAAACCAGGTAATAAACACGATTTTTCTTAGGAACAAATAATTTGAATGGCGGAAAATGAACAAAATAAAATCCATTGAAAAATATTGCAGCTTATGAAATCTGCAGTTATATTTTCTTATAACCATTTTTCGAGCCATTTTTATATTATTATTATTATCCAAGTTAGTATGATTACATAGCTATTATTAGAGACCCCTAGGTGAAAGTATAGGCAACATTTTGACCTAAGAACTGAAAAACCCTTGGAAAACCCTATCTAAAGAGTTGAACGGCAAGCTTGATAATGTTGAATGAATAATATTGAAGCTATTATAAGCTCCAATAAGGATTTGGTGAGATTTCCTATAGTCGTATTCACGATAGAGTTTGAATTTTGACTGTTATTTTCACCAGTTGAAAATAAATTAAATCCCCAGATCTGTCCCTTTTTCTGACAACTATCAAATAATGATACATGACATTTTGATTTGACACATAAAAATATCAGATTCGAGTCTTTGAATTTTGAATTTCGAATTTTTGTGTGAAATCGTTCAGTTTTTTGCCGTTTTCTGCATTAATTTTTTATTTGTTATTATCGCAATCGGTTTTTTGGCTTTTTATGTAGTGTTCTGTGCCTTTGTGTTTCGGTGTTGCGTTTCAAACCTGGTTTTAGTTTGGATTAAAGTGTTTACTCTTTTTATAAGTGTTTACTTTGGACTCTAATTTTAGGATTTTTGGATTTTAATAACTTAATTTCCTTTAAAGAAATTGAAAATGAATTTTTTTTCTGAAATGTACATCACTTTTCTAAATACGACCCTGTCGTTTATCCCAGCTGACGGAATCGAAGCGCTAACGCATGCTGACAACCTAAAGAAAAAATTTACTAAAAATGTCAACGCGAACTGTCAACTTCACTTTCTATCGTGATTTAGTCTATACACAAACAGGGCCGTGGGCGCGGGCCCCAGTACAGCTATTGCGACGGGCCTCCCTAAAGGGACCCCAAACATTTTTGAGTGTCACGACATTTTTACCCAGAAGTCGTTAAAAAAGTACAGGGTGATCTATTATAAATGTCACCCCTTCCTAACTTTTTTATTTGATGTTTTTGACAAAAGTGTAAAATAGAAAAGTTTCAGGAAACTGCCAAGTGTAGCAGTACGAGGTTATATTATTTCAAATGGTATACACCTTGTATATTGTGCGCTTATTTGTTAGTCCCTTTCAAGGTCTCATGTTGAAGAATGAAAAATTATACCATTCAAGCTATAGAGAGAATTGTTTATTAACAATTTATTGTTCAAATGATATTCATTAATTTACAAGGTGAAATATCATAATAAATCCAGATGAAATAAGCTATTACTATCATTTAAAAAAAAATACCAGGAAGGGATTTTCACGTTTTTCCCTATAACTATCGAAAATAAATCGAGAGATAAACATATCAAATCATATATCGTTGAAAGCAGGTTGAAGGGGACTAACAAATGGGCGCACAATATACACGGTGTTCCATTTAAAAAAATAAAACTTTGCTAGGCTACACTTTTTTGACGCACCCTCTATGCTTGACTTTAAAAACTTTTAACAATTTCTTAAAACATTTGTATTTGACACTTCTGTCAAAAACGTCAAATGAAAAAGTAAGGAGGGGGTGAGATTTATAATAGATCACAATGTATAAGTACTCCTCGGGTATAATTTTATTAATTAACCCTTTTGGTTTCAGAACCTGTCAAAGTTGCTAAAAAGTGAATTTTCAACTGTCAATATTTCCAAAACAGTTGAATCCAGGTAAATGGTATATCACATGGAATCTGCTCAGAATTTTACGTAGAATCCGAATATTCAATTCCTGTTTACAGGGTATTCCATTTAAAATGAGAGAGTTGGACCACGACCAGCTTTTCTGAAACACTCTGTAGATGCGAAAATGAGAAGAAAAAAATTCAACCATAAAGCTTTTATTTGAGACACTTCTTTCTAAAATGTCAAATAAAAAAGGTATAGTCGGTGCAACTTATAAACAATAACCCTGTACCATAAGACCTGAGAACATTTTTGGCGGGCCGCATTTTTCCGTTTCCTATTTGGTTACCGCTACATGGAGCGCTAATCCTTTAGGACTTGTAAAATTATATCTGGCATCGCGTTTCCTATTAGGCCAGCGCACATTGTCTACCGCTACAAAGGAGCGGTAATCATATAGGACTTGTTAAATTGTATCTGACGTCGCGTTTCCTATTAGACCAGCGCACATCCTCTACTATTGTCTGCAGACATCCATTGCAATGCATTATCGTTGTCATTTTTTGAGGTTAATTGGTGATTACAGGTGGTGCAATAATTTTGTAATATTTCTCGTTGGGTCTCGTTTTATTATTTCTGTTGATTCTACACCAATGCCAAATGCCAAAAATTCTTTACTAATGGATTGTCGGCTATCATAGCAGACATTTTAGCTGCAATTGCGAAACGATCCTATTCTAGTAGTAGAACGCACTTTACTAAGTTAGCAAAAAGTACCACTAGAGTAAAAATCAAACGAGAAGAAGCCACTGTCATCAGCGCTGACAAAGAAAGCAGATTTTCTTTTCTCTGGGTCCCTTTCATTTAAAGTGAGACAAACGATAACGCGTGTGGTTTCTTCTCGCTTGATTTCTACTCTACCTGCCACTAATATTTTTTTTCTGTTACATTAGAAACACTTATTCTTATTATTAATAAGTATATTTTCTACCGCGGCAAAGTGCTTGCCTGCAACTATATGGAAAAGTTTTTCATAAGTTTTTATTACTGCTGTAAAGAATTTTACTGCTACAAAAAAGTTAAACTCTGCAAGTTGTTTTATTAATTATTATTAAAAACCAAACCAATGTCGAATGTCATGTAATAGCATGGCTGGCAATATGAGCGTAGTTATTTAATTTACGTGCGCTGGTCTAATAGGGAACGCGACGTCGGATATAATTTGACAAGTCCTAGTCCTATAGGAGTAGCGCACAATGTAGCGGTAGTCAATGTGCGCTGGCCTAATAGGAAACGCAATGCCAGATATAATTTTACAAGTCCTAAAGGATTAGCGCTCCATGTAGCGGTAACCAAATAGGAAACGGAAAAATGCTGGCGGGCCGGGCCCCTACTGAACCCGGGCCCCGGTAATTTATACCGGCCGCACCCCCCTATGCACGGCCCTGTACACAAAGCATCCCTACAAACTCAAACAAAAGGGAATTGACCTTTTGTTTGGATGCCATATTGCGGTGCGCGAACATAGTTGCCAACAGTAGAAAAAAAAATTACTAGCGTTCTGTCAACTTTAAAATCCAAAATTAGTGAATAAATAACATTTAAAATTTAAATTTTCCACCGATTACGAATGTTTTTGGAAAGAAAAGCCATTAATTTTAGCTTGTATTGGGCAGAATAGAAATAATAAAATATCTAGTTGACAGCCCGCTAGTAATTTTTGGTTTTCTTGTTTTGGCAACTATGTTCGCGCACTGCAATATGGCGTCGAAACAAAAGGTCAATTAAAAAAGCCACAATCAACGAACTTGTTTTAATCCCTGAACCCTCATATAACCAATGCGATCGTCAAAACTGAACCTGGAAGAACTGCAAAATCTATTCAAAATAACAAAGTTGCTTTTATCGGTGATTTCAATCCCAACACAAATGTTAAGGAAACTCATATAAATGATTTTTTAGCGCTAGGGGGCCTAACACAATTTAACACTTTCTCAAACATATCGGGTAACATATTGGATCTTGTTATTGCTAACTTTGAATGTGAGGTAACTAGAGATCATCTTCCCCTTGTCCCGGAGGATTCTGCACACCCGACCCTCAATGTTTCATTTGACATGCAGCTAAACCCAGATGCGGGGTTCAGTGACTTTCCAACCTCTAACACAAGTAGAAACTATAACTTTAATAAGGCGGATTTCAACCTGATGTACCATCTACTAACTGTCGCAAATTGGGACTCTTTACTCAATGAATCTAATGTTAACCAAGCCGTCAATCATTTCTATAATACTCTTTACACTATTTTTGACCAATGTGTCCCATTGTATAATAAAAAATCAAGTAGGGTTGTGTACCCCAACTGGTACACTAAAGAAATAATAAACAATCTTAATGAGAAGAATAGGCTTTACAAAAAATATATAAAAAGTGGCTCAAACTTGGACTACCAAGCATATGCAAACATGAGACGTATGATAAAAATAAAAATTGATGTCGCATACAAAGCATATATAAGGGACACTGAATCTTCAATCAAGGTGAATCCAAAGCACTTCTGGAAATACATTCGTCAAAATCGCAATAAAACACGTATCCCAAGTAAACTAATTTCTGGTCAATCCTCCCTAGATTGTCCACAGAGTATAGTAAATGGCTTTGCAGAGTTTTTTAAAAGTGTCTATGAAGCATCTTCAGATTTTAGCTTGAATAGCCTGAATGATGTTGGCAACTCTCAGAACATTAATGTCACCCATATTACTGAATTTGAAATCTTTGAATCCCTGAAAAAATTAAAAAACACACATACTTCTGGGCATGACAAAGTACCATCTTTCATACTGCGGGACTGTGCCCCATGTCTTACATCTCCACTGCACCACATATTTAATTTATTAATCAAGACACACACTTTCCCCGATAACTGGAAGAAAACTAAAATATGTCCAGTATTTAAGGGCGGGGATATTAACAATATCTTCTCGAAGGCCTTTGAGGTCTGTGTATATGACAATCTCTTCCACCCAGTTAAAAACTTAATTACCACTATCCAGCATGGATTTTATAGCAAACGCTCAACTATCACTAACCTCACTTCTTTCCTAACAAAGGCATATCAGGCTGTAAATGAAAGAAAACAACTTGATGTGATCTACACGGACTTTTCGAAGGCGTTCGATAAGTTGGACCATGGGATTATTGCTCATAAAATGCTTCAAATTGGGTTTCACAACAACCTTATTAATCTATTTATCTCCTATCTCAGTGGT